CCGCGCTCCCGGCCCGGCACCATGCCCCCGACCCCGGACAAAGAGGCCCCGGCCGAGCCTCCCGATTTTCCCGGACATGCCCGGCTTTGGGGGATTTCCCCCCGGACGGGGATTTGAGCCCCCAAAAGCCGGACATGTCCGGGAAAATCTGGACATATGGTAACCCTATCCAGTCCCATCAATAGACCAGGTACCATTGACTCTGGGGAGACTGGGGGAAGGTTTACACTAGAAGCACTATGTTGGCACAGCTGCACTGATGCAGCTGTGCCGCTGTAGCGCATCTGGTGTAGGTGGTCTATGCCAACAGGAGAGTGCTTTCCTATCAGCATAATGACTCCACCTTCGTGAGAAGCAGAAGCTATGTGGGCGGGAAAACATCTCCCACTGACATAGCGCTCAGGTCACTGTAACTTGCATAATTGGTGGGGGGGGGGGAGGAGGAAGTGTCTTTTTCATGCCCCTGAGCAACACAAGTTAGATCAGCTTTAGAGGTAGTGTAGACCTTCCCTCAGAAGCACTTCTGGCCCCCATGAACTGTTTGCCCTGAAAGGAGCGAGGTCTCCATGTGTCCTGGTGCATTCACCTCTGCAGAGGGCTCCATCTCCTGCATTACATCTACCTCCTGGCCGTACTTCTCCAGTGCATCTTGTTCTGAAGGCTCTGTCAGCACCGCCTTCAATGCAAGACCCTGACTCCTCTGAATTTGAGGATATGGTCATTGGGCTTCTGTTCTGGGAACATGACTACCAGAGGGTTCTGACGGCTCTGTGGCAGTTTCCTACTGTGTGTTACCCAAGAAGCTGGTGTCTGGCTCCTTGGGCAAAGTACAACAGCAGCAGGATCAACCAGGTTGGCCATATTGGAGCTCATGGCCCCAATATACACATTCAGGACAGTCTTGTTTGGCTTTGGAGAACTCCCTTGTTTCACTGCCCTGCCCTTCATCCTGTAGATATCCAGCAATGGAGTTTGATGATGCACCGATCAGCCCAGCTCCGGTTGATCTGAAGAGGTTCCCTTCGTTTCCAAATACAACTGTATCATCATCACCTTCCTCCCTTCCAGATGACTATCATCAGATTCAAGAACTCCTACAGAGAATAGCCAATGCTCTTGAGATCCCACTGGAAGAGGTGCAGGGCAGTCTGCACCAATTATTAGACATTCTGCACACATCAGTATTGGCAAGGGTGGCCTTACCACTCAACACTGTTCTTCAACTGTTGCACACCATGTGGCATACCCTGGTAACATGTGCACCGATCTTGAAGAGGGCTGAGAAAAGATACTACATTTCCCCACCCCACCCCCTCAAAGGGTCAGAATTTTTATTTTCACACCCTTCTTCTAACTCCTTGGTAATACAGGCTGTGTCAGAGTGGACCAAACAACACCACCAGAGACTAGACCTCATGGATTGAAAGGTCTTCTCCTCAGCTGGACTACAGTTCCATTTCTCTAACTACTTGCACTTATATGACTTTATAAACTATGGAAGAATTTGCACATAAGTTCTCTCAGCAGGATCGTCCTCAATTCCAAACAATTTTAGAGGGTCACCAAGTCCATATTTTAGGCTGCACTCGATTCAGTGGACACATCCTCATGTGTATGGGCAACCAGAATTGTCATGAGAAGGGAGTCATGGTTACATTCCTTAGGTTCTTCTAGAGAGGTGCAGAACAAAATCAAGGACCTTCTCCTTGACTTCTCTTCTCTTCAACCAGAAAACTGATTCCTTACACTCACTAAAAGATCTCTGAGCCACCTTACAATCCTGGGGCACCAAATGCCTTTACACTGGCACCAAAAAGAAAATTTTATTGTCCACCACCAGTCCAACGCTGTAGAACTCTACACTTCTACTACCAATGGGCCTATGAGTCTCCTCAGAAGTGCCCCTAAGGTACACAGAGCCCATCCTCCTGTTGCAGCACCGCAGACCTCTGAGCAATACACTTAATCATTATGAAAGCAGTATTTCTGAGTGCATCTAGATAGCAGTCAACCACTCTGTACAACAACACTCTTGCCCTCTGCCCCTTTCAGTGATCATCTCAAACTCTTTCTACTAGCTTGGACAAGTGGGTCTTGGACATTGTTTCATGCTGCTACACCATAGTTTGACCATGCTTCTTCCACATCCCCGACCCGCTCCCCAGAAGCATGTGGTTTAGAGCTCTTGATATGCAAGATGACTACTTCCATATCGACATACACCCAACCCACAGAAGGTCCCTGAAGTTCAAAGTGGGGCATCGATGCTTCCAATACAGGGTTCTCCCATTCAGACTTACCAGGGTCCCATAAGGTTTTTACAAATGTTTTGTGTGTGGTAGCAGCTCACCTACGACCTCAGGGAATCCTTGTCTTTCCATACTTAAACAACAGGCTATTAGCAGTGCAGTCCAAACAGGAAGTGCGAGCATCATCGTCCCAGCTTCTTCTCCTCTCCTCTCCTCCCTATGAGTGAGCATCAATGTTGAAAAATTGACTTTGCATCCTACACGGTCCCTGGAATTCATAGGAGCTCACATTGATATGACCACCCCATGAGCTTATCTATCACAGGACAGATTCCAGAGCCTACTAGAACAAATAGCTCCGATAATCTCCAACCCTTCGGTCTCAGCCAGGACCTGCCTTTCCATCCTAGGGCATGTGGCAGCATGCACATACATCAAACGCTTTGTCCACCTTCACCTTTGTCTACAGCTATCTTAAATGCAAAAAAGAAGCTTACAAGAAGTGGAAGATTGGACAAATGACCAGGGAGGAGTATAAAAATATTGCTCAGACATGCAGGAGTGAAATCAGGAAGGCCAAATCACACTTGGAGTTGCAGCTAGCAAGAGATGTTAAGAGTAATAAGAAGGGTTTCTTCAGGTATGTTAGCAACAAGAAGAAAGT